GGGGCGCGGATGAGCCAGAAGCTCCGCACGCGCGAGACTTGGCGATGTTGCCGGCCCACTTCGGCGGTTTGGGACTGCAATCGGCGGAGCGCACGAGCCCCGCGCACGAGCCCCGCAGCATACTGGGCCGGCATTGCAGATGCTTTGCCGGTGATCCACGCCCGGCTGCCTGAGTTTGCCGAGCGCTGCCGGGATGCACTGGAGCATGACGGTGACAATGCCTCCAGCCTGCGTGCTGCTGCCGAGGCCCGTGAGCTTTTATGAGCCGAAGGCTGGGAAGCCTGCCCAGGCTGGCGAGAGATCCTCCAAGGACCCCGCCGGAACACGGCCCGGGAGACTGGCCACATGGCTGGCAGTTTCATGCGTCGCGCACTCGCAACCAACATTTCCGCGACAGTATGATGCTGCCGGCTATGCTGCCGGATGCCCGGGCGCTGGTGCGGTCCCAATCAGGGCCTCATGCAGGGTCCTGGCTCACTGCCATACCAGCCGAGCCAGCCACGACGCTTGCGCCCCAAGCCATGCAACTCGCGCTCCGCCGCCGCCTGCGCATGCCACTCCCCCTCTGCCACGGCAGGTGCGGCCCGGCACCCGGCTGTGGGGCGCAAGTCGACCGCCTCGGCGACCACGCGCTCGCTTGCCCGCGAACCGGCCTGCTCGCCCGACGCGCCAAGGTCGTCGAGCGAGCGTGGGTCTGCGTTGCGCGCGCAGCCGTCGGTGCCGAAGGGCAGGTGGTGCCACAACAATGGCTCGTGCACACCACGGCGCCTGGAGTGCGCACGGAGGACAGACGCCGCCTAGACGTGGTCATCTACGGGGCGACGCCTAACGGATCCGCGCCATGCTGCGATGCGACGCTGGTATCGCCACTTACACGCACGGGGCAACCACAGCCATGCACGGCCGACGTCGACGGCGCCGCCCTGCGGGCAGCGGAGTGACGCAAGGCGGCAACCTACCCGGAGCTCCGGCGCCAAGGGCCGCAGAAGCTCCTGGTGCTTGGCAGCGAGGTCGGAGGGCGCTTCAACAGCGACGCGCAGCAACTGGTGCGAGACCTGGTCCGACTGCGGTCCTACAGAGCGCCGCCAGCCCTGCGCGCCGCCGCGTCTTCCGGCTGGACGCGTCGCTGGTGGGGCATGCTATCTGTCGCAGTGCAGCAGGCAGTCGCAAGCACTGCCCTTGGGCAGCCATGGCCCCAGCCGCCGCACGCCACCAGCATCGCGGGTCCGCCGCTCGACCGCGTTCTCGACCCCGCAGAGGCCGAGGGGCCGAGCCGCCTGCCGCTGCGACACCTGTCGTAGTCGTAGGGCCTCGCAGGCTCCGTAGGACCCCTTCACTGACCGGACACAAAGTGGGCAGGAGTAAAAGAGCGAGCAAAAAAAAAAATTCGTCTGCGCGTTGCGTCGAGGCCGCATCGTCGCGCTGCGCTGACGAAGCCCACAGGCGGCGTGCGCGCACTAGTTAGGGGCGATGTCTTCCGACGTCTTGTCGCGCGCTTCTTTCCAATATGCGCTGAGCACAAGAGCGGGGCCTGAGGCCGTGGTGCTGAGCATTGACGGCGTTGGTGCGTATGACCACATCTCCCGGGCGAGCATGCTCGATGCCTTGCTTTGGAAGGCCTCCTTCCGTTCGCGGCACTCTTCTATGGGCAAGCCAGCTGCTACGCGTTTTATGACGAAGGGGGCGCGGCGTGGGGCAAGACGTGTGGCAAGGCGAGGGTGGGGAGCAGGGTGACCCCCTGATGCCGGGGCTGTATGCGTTGGGACAGCACTCGGCCCACGGAGAGGCTGTACGCATTCCTCGACGATGTGTACATCACGAGTAACCCGGAAAGGACGGTCCCCGTGTTACACATTGCTCAGGAAGCCCTTGGCGCGCAGGCAAATGTTCAAGGCCACCTTGGCAAGACCAGGGCTTGGAACGCGGCCGGGGAGGAACCGCCGGGGCTGGTGGCGGCTGTGCCCGTAGCTGCGCACGAACTCCCTTGCTGGACCGGCGACTGGGCACTGCCGCCGGCCCAGCAAGGCCTCATCGTTCTCGGCAGCCCCCTCGGTAGCCGCGAGTTCGTGGTTGCCGCGCTGGCAGAAAGGCGACGAGCTCCTGGCCCGTCTCCCTGCCATGCAGGACATGCAGTCCGCGTGGCTGCTACTTGCTGTGCGCGGCCCCGCGGTGCCAGTACCTCCTCCGCACGGTGCCGCCGAGCGTCACGGACACGTTCGCCAGCGAACACGACTCAGCCGTTGCACGTTGCCTCGCCGTCCTGCTGTCGGGGGGAAATGAGCCCATGGATCCGCGCCAGCGCAACGGCGAGCCGCCCTGCCGCTGTGCATGGGTGGCCTCGGCGTCGCCTCTGCGCATCCTGGGCGGACGGCCCGCTGAGGGAACATCACCCGGGCACATTGGCCGAGTTGATGCGGCCGATGCTGGCGGAGGAGGCGCCCGATGTCGCGCCCAGCGCCAGGGAGGCCCAGCAGGCGGCCGGGCTGTTGCGAACGCTCGGCCTCGACGTGCCAACATGGGCCGTGTTGTGCGATGGAGCGCCGCCGCGCGCTCACCCCGCCCAAGCGGCCGGCCCACCGGCCCGTAAGGGGTGGCAGCGTTGCGCCAGCGCCTCTGTCGCTTTTCAGTGACCTTGATCCTGCGTCTCGTGCGCTGCTGCTGTCGCGGGGGGGGATGGCGCCAGCTGCGCCCTGACGGCGCTCCCTACCAGTGCCGACCTCGTCGTGCCAGATGCGGAGTACCGCGTAATGCTGCTCCGACGCCTGCGACTGCCAGTGCCTTCGCGCCCAGGCGTCGTCGCCGCGGCCGGGCCCTTGATACCCTCGGGGATCACCGCACAGCTTGTGCGCAAGTCGGGGTCCTCGCACATCGTGCGGGCCAAGTCGAGCGGGCAGCGGCGCGCATTTGCCGAGAGGCCGGAGCACGCGTAGCGGACAGCGTCGCCCTCCGCGATCTCAACGTTGACGTCCCTGCCACAGACGGGCGCCGCATCGAGGTCGTGGCCAGCGCCCAGATCGCGGTCGACACGACGCTCGTCAGCCCACTGCAGAGGTGCGGAGAGCCCCGTCCAGGAGCCGACGTTGAGCCTTGCACGTACCCGGAGCTGCGGGCTGGCGGGCAAGGGCGTTGTCGGTTGGTCGTATTCGGCATGGAAGTCGGAGGACGATTCAGCCCCAACGCCCTGGCCTTCATCCGCCGCCTGGCGCGGACACGTGGACGAGCGCGTGCGCCGTGGAATGCGGCCGCGGCCGGCCGGGCGCTCACCCGGCGGTGGCATTGCCTTGCGTCATTGGCGGCACTGCGTGCACACGCGCAAACGCTGTTTTGAGCTGCCGGTGCAGTCGTGCGACGCGGGGGATGACCAGGAGCTGCCGCTGGGGGAGTTGCTCGCCGAGCGCCCAGGCAGCCGGACTGTGAGCCCTGACGGTAGCCCGACCCTTGAACCCAGGACAGCGGGTGCAAAAAGGAGCGAGGAAAAAAAAACCACAAAATGTTGGGGAAAATTCTGAATGCTATTCGAATTTTTCAAAAAAAAATGTTTCGTCGCTGTACATTGCGAACTGTACATCTGTTTCACTTGGTAGTTAGTCACTGACCGCTGGACGGTTGTTTGAGGACTCGTGCTGTCCCTACATTAGGGAAAGGCGAGCGTCATAATGTTGCGATGTTAACAACGAGAAATCATTATGTTGTCTGTTCTGCGTCACAAAAGAAGAGTATTCGAGATTGGCATGATGCATTGCGCAAATGTTTTGCAGCGGAGCTGGATCGCAGGTTACAATTATTGCCACAATTTGCCACACACTTGCAGACACTTGCAGCAAACATGGCCATGTTGGCAAAGAAAACAAGAAACAGCACCAGACTAGATCCGGGATGTGCGGCCATGCTGAAGTTGTGGATGCGTATTGTTGGTCAAGGCTTGGCTCTGGCATCTGTACTCGTTTCGGGATTTTTGATGTGCAGGTACGTCGTATTTGCAGGGCGAGCGCGCCGCAGCGCTAGGCGAGTTATTCACACCTTCCATGACTGGGATTATGAAGACCCATCAGCCCCGCATGCAGTTGCGGAAACCATATCGTCTTGGAAATATAATTGGCGCCGAGCAGGATGGCATCCGCGCACGTTACAGCACTTTGAGTGTCAACACTCGCTGCTATATGAGGAAATGATGGATGCACTAAGCTTAGCTCTCAGGCATGGCAACAAGAAGGAGGCTGCATGCTATTTACGTTATGTGGCAATGGCAGCCATTGGTGGAGGCTGGCTATCGGATTCTGACACCGTGCCGACACATCTTGTACCAGGCCAAGATCTTCCAAACAACGGCATCTTCACTGTCTATCACGGAAACCTTTCTTTGATGTCTGGGACCCAAGAAGAATTTGAGAGAGTGTCGAGACTCCTGATCAAACGGATGAATTCCAAGCAACAGGTGATCAATACGCCGGATTGTTCGGACAGATTAATTTTCCGGGACATGATAGCGCAAGGTGAGATTTTGTCAGCCGAACGGGTGATCCCAGCACATTTCTGGCAAGACCACGTGTCGTGCAAAAGCATGACGGACCCGGACCACTTTGCAGTCCAATTTTCGAAGGCTGCCATCGAGATGCTGGGATATTACGTTGATGCTCGTGGCCCCCTGATGAACCGCACAATGGATCGCTGGCGAGCGTGCCGCAACAAAACAATCACATCAATTTGAGCTGGTCTTTGGCCGACGCCAACGACACCTCTCGTCCTTTCCAGCATCCCTTTTATGCCCCTTAACAAGACCGCTGGCTGCCTTCTAGTCATTCTAGTCGCTGTTTCACCATAGGCCCGGAGCAAATTGAGATGCTTAGAACAGACCAAAGGCGCGTTGGGCAATGTCAGAGGGTTTGAGAGATTTTGGGAGGCGAGTGAAAGTTGTTATCATCTGAAGCGGGCTTTGGTTCAGACGGGTGCGCTGCCATGCATCAGTGGAGAGTGGATGCCCTGGTGCCAAGCGCACATGAATGAAAGGACCTCCTGCAAGGCGAAATGCCAAAGTGGAAGTTTGAAGTTAGCCGACATGTTGGACTTTTCAGAACCAGGATTTGTGCATACCACTTCTCAAAGCAGCTGCGAACCCAGTGCCCAGTGCTTTTGCATGCTTTTGGACCACATCAACCCTGGCGATGGCAAGGCATTCGGCAGCGCCGTGGTGATTCGGATGCGTCCTTGTACGAGCGAGAATCCAGCCCAGATCTCATATCGCTTCAACTACCGCTGCCGATTTTTCTGGGGGCAAGACACAAGACATGTGTGTGTGTGTAAACGCCTGAACATGGTGATCGCTGTGATTGACATTTCCATTTGCAGGGGGCAGTGACCCGCTCATAAGCTCACTGCCAATGAAGCTGCTTATGAGTTGGGAGGATATCCAGGCTGATCACCTGGACGTACCTGCATGTAGAGTGGGATACCACACTGCTTGTGACATCATGTACCCTGAAGTCCCGAGGCAGGCAACCATGCTCCTTTTCATTCTTCCCTTCTTCTTGACTCCTCTTGAGTGTGTTGTGGGTCTGGTGGTTGGTACATGTTGGTACCGTGATCACTGCATCAGTTCATGCCAAGCCAAAGTGTGTACCAGTTCTGGTTTTTCCCGACATGGGGCCAGATCTCAGGGGCATGTGCCCGAGCCCGCGATAGCGGATGAGTGAATCACAACGTTGCAGACGCTTGTTCTCATCCATCGGGATCATCTGCAGTAGGATGACATGTGCCCACAGTGGGCTTCATCGGGATCATCGGTCACTGCACGGTCAAGGGCCGCGGTCAAGGGTTGATCAGTAGAGACAGCTTGCTGAACATGTGCTTTCCCTAGGAGTGCAGGTAGATCGTCTGTGCATGTGCAGGTAGGAGGACCAGGTAGGCACGCGCTCAAGGTATCCGGAATCCTTAAACTGACATGTCATTGATCTCTTGTTGCTGTTCATGACTGGCTTGCTGACACCTGCTTGCTTCTTCGCGTCCTTTTCGCCCTTCGGGGCGTGTGTGTGTGTAAACGCCTGAACATGGTGATCGCTGTGATTGACATTTCCATTTGCAAGGGGCAGTGACCCGCTCATAAGCTCACTGCCAATGAAGCTGCTTATGAGTTGGGAGGATATCCAGGCTGATCACCTGGACGTACCTGCATGTAGAGTGGGATACCACACTGCTTGTGACATCATGTACCCTGAAGTCCCGAGGCAGGCAACCATGCTCCTTTTCATTCTTCCCTTCTTCTTGACTCCTCTTGAGTGTGTTGTGGGTCTGGTGGTTGGTACATGTTGGTACCGTGATCACTGCATCAGTTCATGCCAAGCCAAAGTGTGTGTGCTCCCGTGAAGTCGTTGTAGGGCAGGTGCAATGAAGAGGCTTAGGTTGAGTTGCGTTGCCTTCTGGAATGTCAGGGTTGCGGGAAAAAGCGGTCTTGGATGAAAGCTTTGATTAGTCGGCACCCCAATCCTGTCGTGTGATGGGTCCCGAAGCATGCCTCCAGTTTTCACGGTGTTGCAAAAACACAAAGTGCCAGCCCTGCACCAAAGTACGAAACACAAGAAGTTCAACGGGCAAGCGAACGAACACCGGTGGCCATTTCTTTAGGTGGTTTTCTCTTTCTGTCCGTCTCGCTGTGTTGTATGCTCGTCGTCAAGAACATTACAGTAGAAGTCGAGGCCAGTAGAGTTCCAGCCAGAAACCAAAACCCCCACGACAGCTAGCCCGCTTGTTCCGTCCACCAAGGCGCCAGCTATGCTACTCGACAGAGTAGCAGACGCCATTCTGGTGCCAGGCTGCAAGAACCCATTGTGCAACACTTCTGCTCAACAGACTTCAAGCAAATGCTTGGGCCAGGCGCTCCATCGGCAACTTGTTCCCGCTCACAGGTGCTGAAGGAGTCTTGCAAAATCAACTTTCCGGCTGCACTTGTACATGAGGCTGCCTTCGTGCACCTGCAATGAGGTGCCGGCAATGCGAAACATATGTTGCACATTGCCTCTCGTATTTCGAAGGATGTCAACTTGTTGCACCACGGCCCGCAGATACCAGTACTTTTTTTTCGATTTTGTTACATGAGGCCGTAAGCATGGATATGGTGTTCGGGTGGCCCAAAACGCATAAGACTCGTGCCGTGCAGGTATGCAACCAAAGCAGTTTCTCTGCTGCAGCAAGCCCGTCGGCTCCGAAAAGGTTAGAGTGCAAGTTGGGCCAAGGAGCTTGAGCAGGCAGCAGAGGCAGCTCAAGAGCAGCAGCAGCCTTCGGCACAGCATGCGGTGGAGCTTTGTGATTTTTGGCCAGAGGTAAGCAAATAAGCACGCATGAAACACCGAGGGCAGAAGAAAACGCGGCCGCCTTCACAACAAGCTTCATAAATGAGCCGGTTGAGGAGGCACGTCATGTGAAGACTATGCAGGGAGACAGCTGCAAATACTGCTCAACTTGAAGCTCAGGAAGGCTCCGAGAAGGACGTGTGCATTAGGTACTCGTAGAGCATCATGTGGCTGCCGGTTTGCAATGCCAAAGCATGCGTTGTTCCCACAAACTGGCTGTTTTGCAGGAGTACAGCACGGGTAGCAGCTCGAACAGTTCCGGTCAAGATGACGAAGATAATGTGCTGGAACTTGCGGCGCGTCTGCATTGCTTACCATATGCGCTTTTCACGGAGACATTTTCCCTACTTGGATGTTCACGTGTAGAAGATGATAGCATTGGGAGACATTTTCCTCTGTCACGGAGGACAGTGACCTAGAGGACTATGATCATGAAGCTGCCGGAGAACGCATAGGTTCAATGCTGGAGAACTTGAAGCACCGGCCTTAGAAGGGGCAATAGCTGGCGGATGCGCAACTCAAGTTTTCGGACCACTTGGTGCGAGCACGCAGTGAGGTGTCAAGATCGCATTGACATCATGGACACTTGCTTGCATTTGCGTGCAAGCGAGGGCAAGACGCCGAGACGGCGAGATCCGGTTTGAAGAAGACTGGGACATGACCTGCTGCCAAGACTGGGACATGACCGGCTGCCAAGGATTCGCTACATACATTTTACCAGATTCGAAGAGAAGCGGTAGAGACGGAGATGGAGGAACTTGAGACATTGGAGAAGGAGTACTACGACAGGCCCGTCTTGTTTTTGAGCGCGCTGCGGGTGAAACGCATTGGCCTTGGCCTTGGCCTTTGGCCTTGGCCTTGGCCTTGGCCTTGGCCCGGGAGAATCGTGTTTGTCAGGGTTTTACTTAGGGACTTCTTGGGCTGGGAGTTAAGGTTCGCCCAGCCCATACCCTAGGTTTCTGCCCGGCGCCTTCCACTTGCGGGTTTGTTCTCAGGCTGCCTGGGCTTGTACAAAGCTGCCTACAGTAGGCCGGGACATGTGAGCACACAACACAACTACCCGGCATGGAGCTGTTTCCGTAGCTGGATCGTAGGCCTTCTGACAGGTACCCCATAAGTCCCCTTGAAAACCAGATCCGGGCTGTCTCCTTGTGACTCGACTGTTGTTGCCTTTGGATCTCCTGGTGCGGGCAATGGGGAGGTGGAGTTCCTTCGTCCCTCAAAGGCTCAAAGGGGGAATTGGACTTAGAAGCCCTGAAGCCTCAACCCAGGGGCCGTTCTTGAGGCGGAAGAGGGGAACCATCCAGCAGCACGACACCCTCGATTTTGCTTAGAGGGAGTTCGGGCTTGGAATTAAGTTTGTTACTTCAACGAGTGTTGCCTGGTGCTGAGATCTTTTTTCGTTTTAGGTGGGGGTGCCGACATCTGTGGGGGGCCCGGGTGAACCCATCCTCGGTGTGGGCAAACAGGTCTAACGCCTGAGGGAGAGTGGGCTTAGACGGCCTGTTTGAGTGCTGCTTCTTGCCTCGCAGTGCAGGGATGAGGAGACCAAGGAGACGTTGTTCTTGCTTTGTTTGCGCTCGCTTCTGTCGGGTGGGGACCACTGCAGCATGTCGCAGGAATCTTTGAACAGCATGGTGAGGGCATTCGAATCCAAAGGCATGACGGAAGTGCAAGTGCTTGTGAAGTCTGAAACTAAGTCGCCATGAACATGCGAAAACGCAGTTGCTTGGATAAAGGGATGCCGCACCCCGAGGTGTAGTGCAACCCTCCAAGCCGGTGCCAATGGCAGCTTTCGTCAACGACAAAAGTGCCTCGATGTAAAGCTTTCGAAAAAGCTCTTTTTTGGATGTGCACTTCAGAGGTTCTCGAAGGCTGCAAAGGCAAAGAGCAGACCACCCGAGAGAAAGGTTTCCATGGCAGAGGACCACGAAGAGAAGGAACAGAAGGAGTTTTCCTTTGGCTTGAAGCTTGCAGCTTTAGGTTGATGTTTTGAAATGTTGTTTGACCTACTTTTTTTTGTCAGAGTCTTTCCGGAAATCGGATCCAGGAGACTGAAGAGACCGAATGGAAACCGAAACGCTCATTGAAGCCCTTCTTCCAAGACGAGGTGAAGGAGTCGCTGTCAGAGCCGCCACAGCATTTCATAGCATGCTACAGCACTGTGGTGATTGTCCCAGCTTCAGCTACTTCAAGAAAATTGCAGGAAGAGGTCAAGGAGGATTTGCCGGAAGAGGAGGAAGTGCGCGCAAGTGCAAATGGTGCCCGAGCAGCGGTGGGGTTCCTCTGCATTGGCAAGTGTGCGCGAGTGTTGCGCGCGAAGGAGGTGCAAGGACCCGTTGTGACCGAAGAGGCCAATGCATGCGGTGTATGCACGTATGTATGCACTTGTATGAGTCTTGTATGCGCAGCCACAGACGCAAGATGCAGCACAGATGCTGCCTTCCAGGACTTGAAGGATCAAGATGTGTGGGATCTGAACCGCGCGCGGGAACTCTGGAAGCTCGGCCAGACACGACAATGTGAAGACATGTGAGGTGTTCAGCGAGCAACTCAAGCAACTCAAGCAACTCAAGCAGCTGGCCTGAAGCAAAGGAGTCGGATGAATGAGAAAGCTGTGAAGGTGGCTGGCGGCAAAGGCTCGGCGATCGAGATTCTTCAGGCGCGGGCAACTAGAAGCGGAGGTGCTTACATTCAAAGCTTGTGTGCTCGCTGCCCATCCTCACGCCTCACTCGAGGCGATGGTGGTGGTCCAGGAAGGGAGTGCAGAGCTGCAGCGAGCCTTGAAGAAAATCGGTCTTCGCACAGATTCAACGATCACACGCCTCAGCAGTTTCAGCGGTGAGAACTAGACTTCCGCCATCGTGAAGTTGAAGCTAGCGCGGGGCTGCTGCGAGCACAAGGAATGTTGCACATCAGGACGGGCCGAACTGGCAAAGAAGGCGTGATCTACAAAGGGAGCACAGCCCACCTTGTTGATCAGCGACAGCATTGTTGGAAGTCCCCTTTGTGGTGACGCAGGCCACAGCCACAATGAACACGGCCCTCGAGTTTCTGACTCGAAACTTCAATGCCGGCATTGTGATTGACTTCGAGAACCCTTCGCCCGATGACCCCCGTCCCGAAATCTCCAGCTCAGCTCGAAGAAGTTTCGCTGAGTGCTTTTGCAAGGCTGCTTGGAGTGTCTTTTCCGTTCTGAAACATGACGCTGAGGATGAAGCAATGGTGACTCAGTTGCATCAGGAATTAATGTGCTGGGTCTTGAACTTCTGACCATTTACAAGTTGTCGACATCATGCATCCATGTGGTTCAGAAGAGGAAGAAGTGATGTTCGCAGGTGGAGTACGCAAGACGCCTGCGGAACAAACTCTTATCGGAAACTGACATGGACGATATGGACGAAGCACCAGATGCTGAGGCTCGCTGCTCTGTAAGAAGAGTGCGGGTATACAGGCCATGAATCGAGATGACAAGCTGTTCGTCCAGGAGTTGGAGGAGGAATGCCAAGAGCTTGAACGCATCCTAGGGGAGCAGGAGAAAGACATTGAATCTCTGCAGCATGAGCTTCGAATACTCATATGTCGCCCCTACCAGATCTCTAGAACATTCTGTGGGTTTCAGAGCCAAGGAAGCGTTTCAGAAGCAGCGCGAAGAGAAGGAAAAGTCGCAGGAGGAGCCTTCCTTGCATTCCCTGGCATGTTTGAGGCACTGTGTTTTGTGCAGCAAGGCCCCTCAAGGTCCGGGGGACACTTCAGGATGTACAGAGACCGAATGGCTGCATGCAGAAGCAGCCCCGCAGCAAGTGGCATCACTGTCACCCACTTGCCCAAGTGAAAGCGAACTCCATGGGGTACCGGGTATTTATGCAAGGCTGCAAGGCCAGAGTAGGTGTCGATCGAGGGCCCCAGCGGCCTTGGCATTTCAAAGCTTGACAGCTGGAAAAACCCCCGACCAAAAGATAAGAGGGGTGATTTCTCGGAGAGATTCTGCGGCCCTTGCATGGCTGTGGTTTTGTGCGACTGCGGTTCGTGGGAAATCTCGCCATGTCACCGGTTCCCTTTTGTGATCTTCGCGGTGCGGGGCAGGAAGAACACAATGCTAAGCTCGAACAGCTCCTGGATGACCAAGCTGACCCAGACGCGGACCCTGCAGAAGAACGCGGAACGGCACCTTGGACATGGGCTCTGCATGTTGCCCGCGCAAACTGTTCAAAAGCGTCGTCAAATGAAATTATATATGTAAGCGACGCGGGGCATTGCGCGAGGCCTCAAAACAAAGCAAGTCTGCTGTCCTGGACGCGCGATTGGAGGAGAGATGGCCTTGCTGCCTTTTGCTGTGCTGCAGTTTGTCTCGTCTTTTTGTTTTGTTTTTTGTTTTGTTTTTTGTTGTTGTAGGTTGCTGATGCAATCATGGGCAGGGACTTCAGATCCAGGGGGCGCAGCCGAAAGCAAGTGCCGCACAGAGGATGAAGATGGCAGCCAGGCCTGAGTCGGCCTGAGTGCCCAGTGCTCCGCAAATCATTTCGTGAGAGATACATCCTGGTTGCACCTGCTTGCAGTGTAAGTGGCACACCGTTTAATTATTAGGCGAAGGGGTTGAAAAGAGTCCTCTTGGAACTTGAAATCGTCGTATGCCGATCGTAGCGAGGATGTGTGTCATGCATTGCAAAGCTGTGTGATGGCCCAATCCTGCCACGAGTTGGAAGGACAGCAGCTGCCATCTCTGCGATAAACAAGGATGCGCCTGCTGCCGGAGCTCCCCGCAACTTACACTCCGTGGAGGATTTCAAAGACGATCCCAAGGCAAGGTTGGCGAAGCTCGAGGGGATGACTTTGCGCGGACTGCTGTGCTGAGGTCAGGATGCTACGTGAGCACATTGCCACCAAGGACGGTTGCATTGAAGACTCTGTCTGATGGACGAGCTGGGGAGCAATTAATCTGTGGGTGAATTTGTAGGCCTGAGATAGTGAGGATGGCCAAATCGACCAAGCTCGGAAGCTGTTGAAGCGGATGCGCTTTGAGAGACGACTTCTTCATTACTGCCGGAAGAAGGCACAATTCAGTACATTTCATGGTGGCCCCATGGGCCAAAGTAGAGAAGCAGAGAGAGAACCCAGACTTGAAGCTGAGAGCACCTGGGCCGAGGCGAAATCCGGATTTGATGACATTGTCCAGGAGATACTCGGTGTGATTCAGGAACAGCATGTATGATCCCGCAGCCACAGGCAGGTGTGAATGCGCAGCTTGCAAAATGTGGTTCTCCAGTTGACGATTGATATCGCCGAGGTTCGAGCCGCCTGCTTTCGATGATGTTCCCTCTGCGGATGAGGCTTCCCAAGAATCCGCCAGTGAGGACGGTATCGTTTGCAGCATTTTGGCTTCTTGACCAACTTTGCGGAGTTGCGAAATCGAGATACTCGTGGTCGCAGGAGGAGCTCCCGCCGCCTGAAAAGGAGCCGCCGCCGTCAGAGCCGGAGAAGCCTCAGAAGCCGGAAACAGAGAAGCTTGAGAAGCTTGAGCCGAGCCAAAAAGAGCAGCCAGAGCCCCTCGGCCAAATTCAGAGCTTCTTCCGATGTATTGCGGGGTTTCTTGCCTTTCACGCGCGGATGCCTCGCGGCAGATGCCAGGGCGGATGGGCACAAGGAGGCTGCAAAGCCAGAGGCTGCAAAGCCGGAGGCTGCGAAGCCAGAGGCTGCAAAACCAGAGCACCTCGGCGCTGTCGAGTCGAGAGCCTCAGAGAGATGAGAGAGAGCCCGGCTCTGCAGAGGACCCCGGCGGCCAACAGCGCGAGGGCCCCTGGCCAGGGGGTCCCGTCGGCACCATCGGGCCCAGCCTTGGTGAGCAAGATCATGGACCTAAGTGCCAAGAGCAACGAGGCACTGCACGACGGTTGGTGCTTTGGTCGTGTTGCCGTTGTTACGTTCCCCCAGAGTCCAGGGTTGCTGTGATGGCAGGGTCTGGAGATCGAAGGTCAGCTGAAGAAAGAGGCAGGTGCCTATGCCAGTCAGTGGCAAAGAAAGGTTCGTGGGCTGGTGTGTGGGTGCATGCGCGGATTCTCTCAGGTCGAAGACTTGTGGCCTGGATTTCATATCGGATGGCCTTGCGGGTTCGCTTGGAGTTGTGAAGCCGCCTTCCCATTCCCCTGAGGCAAGTAGCCTTGGCTGACAACTCCAACAGCCTGCGGGAGGACAAAGTTTCAAAGGGAGCCTAGGCCCACTCTTGCCAATTCTTTGCAGGCAAAGCCAGGGCTGTGCATCGTGCTTCCCTTGCCCCAACCGCCTAAATGCAAGGAGAAAGTGCGCCAGAAGACGTTGCGCAAGGTGGGGGTCGCTGCAGTGCCCCGGGAAAGCTGGAACAACCCCAATGTAGAGAAGCCACAGCCATTGCGTCGCTTGGTTTGTGTGAATGGGTATGTCGCCAGAGAACTTTGTCGCGGATGCTTGCTCAGTCCATCAAAGACCTCCGCAAAGAGTTCCACCAGCTGTCTTCAAGTGCAACTCGGCAAAAGAACCTGTAGCTGCACACTTTTTTTATCTGAGCACGTGCGCCGTCACCAAGGACCAAGATGCTCCCAAAACGTTGGAAGGCCAGACCCCTTGGAGGAGAAAAGCTTGAGTCTGCCCTTGGAGTCTGCCCTCGAAGGTCTGCAGGAGCAGATCAAGTTCGAGGAGAAGGTGTATCGTGACCTTCAAAGTCAGCACAACCCTCGGTGAGCAAGGCCTTTCTGACGCACTTTCTGATGGGCAGTGCCTGCTGTGGTACATGAGGATAGATGAGCTCAAGGCCCAGGTTGGGCCTGAATCCCGGTTCCAATCATCAGATGTTCAGCTAACTTTGGCTATCTGAGAGTGTTAGGGCAACTACTCTTGTTCTCCTGAGGCAAAAGTCAATCAACACAGGTGAGCAGGAGCAGCAACATGGCTGCATGGCCTGCGCAACCGCAAGGGGTCACTCACCATGTTGCCTGTGAATCATACGTTGCCTAAGGCAGAGCCAGCCACCAACACTTGCACAGCCAGAGGACACCGAGCTTTCGCGCCAGACAAGCCCTCGAGCAGAGTCGAGACCGCCCAGTGCAAGAGAGTCCAGACCATCCAGTGGTGGCCGAGACAGATCGACACCTTTGGGTGCAAGAGATGTGGAGTCGCCCACTGGGGTCGCCGCCGACCCACCGAGAGCATCAAGCGCGAGGGCCGAACCCACCAGATCTTTCAGTGAAAAGCCCGACCCACCGGCGAGGTCGCTCAGTGCACTAACCAGCCAAACCAACCTTCACGAGCCATCGAGGTCTCCCAGTGCTAGGTCTGGTCCATCACGACCTACCAGCTCAAGGAGTGCCGGTCTTAGCGGGCGAGTTGCCTGAAGTAGCCTGAGTGCCATCTACTTGAGATAGCTCTTCTGCAGGCATTCGTGGCAAAGGTGAGGAGGAAGAAGGGGATCTTCCATTGGCTTCGAGGGACGGCCGCATCCCACCGGAGGACCCCGGAGAAGCCGGCAAGGCGTTGGCCGGGCAATGTGCGACTGTGGATGCTACAGCTGAGTTCGTGGCGCTGCACAGGCCCGCGCAACGCTGGACCAGCAGCGCGCGTCCGTGGAGTCTGGCGATGCGGAGCGTATCGCCTCGCAGCTCGCTCCGCAGAGCCGCCCACAGAGCGGCGCCTCGCAGAGGGCCCCGCGCAGCGCCCCAGGGGGCTCCGCGGAGAGCGGTCCGCGGCGCTCCACGGAGAGCGCTCAGAGCCTCCCTCAGAGCGCTCCGGCCTCGAAGGCTTTGCTACCCCCAAGCGCCCCGAGCCCAGAGAAGCCTCGAGGCTTCTTGCACATTTGCATGCAGTGGCTCTCGTTTGGATGTCTGCATCGCTGAGGCACCCGAGGAAGGCGGGTTTGCTGCATGAGCTTAGGAGTCAGAGGGTCCGAGCTCCAAGTCTTGCTTTGCGATGGGCGCAGGCGTGTCAGCACAGGAGGAGGCGCGTGGCAGCTTATTCGATCTTGTGCTGGTTTCAAAACCGTGGAGTGTCACAAGACGGCCGACCAGGCCACCACTTCGGTGGCGGAACTCGTCAAAGTTCAAGCTCGGACGGAGGCATCCAACAACCCACAAAGTCTCAACTTGCACAAAGTTCGTGGGCAAACGTCGTGCATCTCCTTGTGCAGGCGATGCGGGAGGAAATTCACGACATAGCCATGCCCCCATTTTGCAGAAGGGATGCCGTCCGAACTGCGAGGGCATTAAAAGGGAAAAGAAAGTTGTATCGCTCGTGCATCTTGCTTGCAGTTGACACCTTGCAAGTTGATTGTGTTTTTCGGATGTTTTCGGTCACCAGCGAATCATCGTGGCGGGCAGAGCGTTGGTGGGACTTGGGTTCGTGTGAGTAGCTAACCTTGCTGAAGGGAGATACATTCCGGGACACACCTATGGTTGCAAGGATGTGGCGGCTGCCCTTCCCACTCGTTTTTTGGTGTAGCGGCAAGTGTTTTCTTGGCAGTGTTTTCTTGTCCATTGTGCAGGTTTGCCATTAAGTCGGAAAACAGCAGAGCGTGCTCAACCCACGAAGAACCAGATTTCACGCCTTTTCTGTAAGACCGCAGGGTGCTCACTGCTGAGGATGCGAAGCTGAAAAAGCTGAAGGTCCTCCTGAAGAGCAAAGGCTTGCGCCCACTCACTGTTCTCGCATGTTCTGATCAATGTAACCCCACAGTCGGGAGACAATCTCACGCACGCCCATTTTCTCCCCGAAGGCGAGGTTGACATCGTCAGCGCGGCTAGACGCTTAGTCCTGCAAGGCAGGCGGCGCCAACCTTATCTGAGGACCGTGCGTCCAAGATGCCGGAATCGAGGTCCGCGAGATCTTAGGCTTGGTGCACGAAGAGGAGGTCAAGGCGCCACCTGCGTAGCTTGGTGCACCCAGTGGGTCAGGGCACAAGAAGCTGACACGAGAACTTCAGTGGCCTCCTTCAGACTCTAGCACCCGAGGTTCCATCAGTTCAAGCGGGAGCTGAAGGACCAGCAAGACAAGATTCGAACACTCCGCAAGAAATGGTGGCCACGCATAGTTTGTATTGGCTTCTGCTTTTGGTTTCATGCGCCACAGTTTCCAGCACTCACGACAGCAGAGTGTGGCATTGTGAGGTGGGATGACCATCGGGACTTTGATGGCTTGGTGGAGAAGGCGCGCGCGTGGCTGTGCGGTCGTGTGGCCGCGCAGCGTGCAAAACTTGCTGTTGGCTCTTGTTGGTGCATCGGCCACGGTTTCTGCCAGGTTCGAAATCAGATGGGCGGAAACAGATTAATCTTCGCAGGGCCAGACAGCCGCTGGTCTGACATGGTATTTTTTGCTCGGATGAGTATCTGGCGAAATGTTCGACTGCATGACTTCTTCGTTTGCTTCCCTTTGTCCTTGAGGCACGGAGCCTGACCTTACAGTGCAAGGACGTCATGGTTTCATTCTCCTGTGCCTTGCATGCTTGGCATTCCGCCGTGGCTTTGCGGCCCAGTTTGGAAGACGTCAGGAGCGGAGCATGCATCTGCTCCTGTCCGGGCCAACGTTGGAGAGTCCCCGCTGCCCGACTTGCACCAGGCGCAGGCTGACACCGGTGTGCTCCTGACTGCTTGAGATCCTTTCCTGTCGAACTGGCATCCTGCAGCTGGCCTGCCATCAGGCGAGCCATGGCTTCCGAGGATCCGCGAATGCACCGGCCATCAGGCCAGACCCACTTCAAGCTGAAGCAGGACTGCATACAGATCATACAGTAGCTGTGGCTGGGCAGGCCCCCGTCCAAAGAGACAAGCAATGCTGCTCCCCAGCAGGGCGGACACCGAAGGCACGGAGTAAGTTGTTGCAATCTGTTACACCGACACTACTGTTGCACTACACATGTTACCCACCGAGTCGCCGTTGGTTTTGAGTTTTTTTTTGTTCTGCCCGAGTGTTGCGAATCATTGTTGCATCCGTGTGTTGTTGCAAGCAGAGGGTTGCTGCATGCTGCCGCTTCAGCCTGGCTCGACTTTCGGAGGGGCTTAGGTTTTTTTCTTACATCAGGCCATTCGTAATGTCCTGCCTCGGGATGGTTTAACCAGAGAACTGAAGCAGCGAAGGGCCTCCTCCTTAGCACCAGATTGCTGCCCAGCATGTTGCCCACTGGAGTCTGGCCCTGTTGGGCTGCACTTTGCTGCGCGGATATGTTTGGGCTCAGGCCTGCCCGCCCTGTGGTGCATGCTGAAAGTTTTCTATGTCCTGGTGTTCTGCCAAAAGTTCGTGATTTGTAGAGCTGCCCGCGATGAACAGGAGGCCAGACTTGATTTTGGCCCGCTTTTTTGGCCATATCCTGCAGTCACTGGAAGACTGTAAGCAAGCCCTGCAGGCACAGACAATCAGCGTGGCGGAGTTGCACACAAGTTCCAGGCAAAAGCAGCACGAACTGGGTGAACAAGCGCGTCGGGGAGAAGAGTTCGGCTTGGACCGCCCGGACGCTATGGATGCTGCGGGCGCTACGGGACTCGAACAAGGCTCAGTCCAAGTAAGGTCCTTCTCCCGTCCCGCTCGCCGCCTGGAGAAGGCGCATCTTGCATCCTGCTCCTCTTTCATTCCTTCCTTGGGCCCCCTAGATCCCCTTACACAAAATAGCACATTCCATCATGTTCCCTAATCTTGCACATGTGGCACCCAGTTGGAGCAGCGTGAGCATGTTCGCCTGGAGCAGCAATTGACAGCGCTGCTTGCCCTGATAAGTGCCTGATACGAGGTGAGAGCCTGTGTGGCATGTGGGGCCCATGTGCGCTGTGTTGTGTGGCACCAGTTTAACTCGCTCTCTCTCTCTCTCTCTCTCTATTCTTCTCTCTCTTTCTCTTTCTCTCTCTCTCTCTTTCTCTCTCTTTCTCTCTCTTTCTCTCTCTTTCTCTCTCTTTCTCTCTCTTTCTCTCTCTCTTTCTCTCTCTCTTTCTCTCTCTCTTTCTCTCTCTTTCTCTTTCTCTCTCTTTCTCTCTCTCACAAGGCACATCGAAGCCGCAGAAGCTCGCGAGGCCTTGCGGGGGCGACTTTTCTATTCTGCGGCTCGACGAAGGAAGCAGGAATCTAAGGCTCCGATGTCCAATTTTGCAAAGGTAAGCCCAAACGACAAGCGAAGGATCATCTCCTCTGGAGTGACTAGCAGCTAGCATTTGAGGGCAGCGACATTCAGCGATTTGTTTCGTGGTGATGCGCAAACTTTTGGTCGAAAGCTATGTTGGCTCAGGCTTTCGCCGCTGATCCGGACACCAAGAAGACGGAACCGCCAGCCGACAACACCACCTCGAAAGACCAGGAGGCATCCCAATCATCCCAAGATGCTTTCAAGAAGGCCGGCGAGGATTCCGAGAAGGTGAAGGAAGACGACTCCTTGCTCAATGGCATGTGGACAGTAGGGATACGGCACCGTCATTTTTGTGTCTTTTATGCTTAAGCCACCGGAGACTGAGGTCGCCAAGCTTGAATCCGCTACGCATGACGCACAAGAGAAGTCCAAGTCTGTGGATAAAGACTTTGCCAAGTATGCCGCTCGGACTGGCCAGCGAGACGTGATGAACTCCTGCTCCCAGCAGGCATCTCTCGCTTCCACAAGACATCTGCGTGTGGTCGGAAAGTAGTGGCCCCAATCCTTTTCAACCGAGGATGACAAGATGAAAAAAATGGATGAGGTCTTGAAGAGGCTGTGGGTTGTAGGCAAGGTCAACATGGAATAAATGGATGTGCCCTTCAGATCACAGCCGTGAAGGCTGGCGCAGAAGACCTTCCGCTGGCGGCAGGCCTCGCCCCCTGAACCAGTGGCCTTGTGGTAGGATGACTTCCATGCAGGAAGTCATGCAGTTTTTCGCTGATGCAGAAGGCGACAAGTGCCCTGGCCGGTTCAGGTGCTGACTATGAGTGCTGCATATGGCTGAGGGCTTTCTCCTGGTATTTACATGCAAGGTATTCACCGCTCATGGCCGTCAAGCTGGCCACTCCGCAGAACATCTTTTTTTTGTGCCTGGGCAGAAAGATGAGCGATGTGGGGCACCGAGGACAGGTCCAGGGACGTGCGGAAGGACAGCGCGCAGAAGTCGGACGATGCGAATTCCACTCACTCTACATCGCAAGGTCCATCTTGAGGACCCATCCTTCGGCTGCTTGTCGCCTCCAATCTGCTGAGTTGAGATCGAAGCGCTGCGCCCTGTGTTGCTTCAAGGCTGCAGCCCTCCGCGGGCCCTCCACCACAACCAGCTGCTGAGTGAAGCTGTGAAGACCAGTAAGTTTGCTGCGAAAGCGTTCAAAATCGACTTAGCAAGGTATGCCCAGGCTGCCCAGGTGCCCTCCAATCTCAGCCATGGTTCGCCTCGCAGGATGAGCGGGCTGAAAGGCTTTGGCGCATTCAGTGCGATGAATCAAGGCACCGTGATGAGGCGCTGTGTAGAGGGCAGCCGCATATTGCAGGACCAGGATGCCTGTGCTGCACCCGGTGACCTGCAGGGCCGTAGCTGTGGCGGACGACAACCCGCGGTCGCAGTTTACCAAAGTCATGCAGGCTACAGCGGCTACGGAGGCCACGGTGCTGAGGTTCCAGATGGGGTAAAATACTTCATTCTAGACTCTAGCGTCTGGCAGTTCCTGAGGCCTCACCAACCGAGCATGTGCAGTGGATTTTCATATGGGCTGTGCTGACAAGATGGGGTGCGGGTGCCAGTTAGACCCCAAGCCCATCTCAGCCCTTGCGATAAGCAGATAGCGCTCGACCCTGCTGGCCAGGCGCGCAAAAGCCTGAAATCGCTCTTCGGCTAAAGAGGAGCTGGCAAAGCCACTTCCAATTCCAACTGCCCTCGAGCCACGGACTCTGATGCCAAGATGGAATTGGTGCTCTGTGGGATTGCTGAAAAGCAGCAGCAGGGTTTCGATGCCACGAAGTGGCCGCGGAAGTCCAAAGAGCGCTTGTTGAGCACACGCTGTAGTGACTGCTCGGTTCTCGCAACACAGCCACCGATCTTCTGTTGGGGCGCTGCGCCACTACGCCGCTACGCAGGCTCAATTTCAACTGTCAGGCCACATCCCTGCGCTTTCCTAGTCCTAGTCCACAGCGTCCAGGATCGGCGAAGGATCGAGCAGGCCCAGCCGTGCTTGCAAGGAAAGATCTCTCGCATGGGCGGGTCACTTGTTGCTAGGTCCCTTGCAGAACCCTCCATGAGCTATGCGACTGTACGTTTTCATTTTGCTGATGGCTTTGCTGTGCCAAGCTAAGACGTGGAACTGGGAGGTCTTTGCCGTACTAAGGTTTTGGTTCCCGACCTCTTCTGTTATTGCAAAGCAGCCGAGGAGTCGTGTGTGGTGTGTGCGCGACATGGTAGATGACGACGAGGCAGGGCATGTCGTGCAAAAATTGCTCCTGAGCATCAAAGCACTCCATTCCGTTCCCCAACGTTCTTAAACGTTGAGGCACTGGAGTCGGGTCTGAAGGCCGAGCAGTTCGTAAGACATGTGCTGTGCTGTTCTCGTCACTCTCTTGTTCGCTGCTGGCTTTCGTCGGTCTGGAGACTTTAGGGATTCTGTAAAGCCTGCCAACGCAGGTTCCGAGAGTTAGGGGGGAGCCTATGGGCTCATGTCTTCCCAGGCCAGGAGCCAGCCGAAACCCGAGGAAGACCAGGATGCTGCCGGCCTCGATGAGGTCTCCCAGAGGGAGAGATCCTGGAACTCGCTGCAGCACTTGCTGTAGGTTCTGCTTAGACCATCTTGTGTTCGGTGTGGGTCGTGAGGATGATGAGGACGGCGAGCCGGATCGCCTTTCTGATGCACTATGAAGCTCTGGTGACCTTTGACATCCTTTGACCATTGAGTCGAGATCTCCGAATGCATGCCAGGCCTGATAGGCCACCTTTGCGTGCCAAGGAGACAAGGATGCATTTGAGGGTACGGCAAAGGATGGAGTGCAGATCGAGGGCGCCGTGGCGGAATTCAGCACTGCCGGGCTCCCGGTGCCAGGGAGCCATGCGGTCAAGCGGTCATAAGCGGTCATGCAGTTCTTGAAGCCTTGTGAAACTACTCGTGCCCATGGGGAAGTCCAGGCCACGAAGGACGCAGAGAACAAAGCCAAGATGGTGGACAAGAACTTTGCCAAGTACAACGGAAGGCTTCTGCAGTCCCCCGCTAAGGAGTGCTTGTCATGGCAGACCACCTTCAAGCAGGTTGGGTCAGCTTCAAGATCAGTTGCGCAAGCTGTCGGCTATGGCCAGAAGCCACTCCGTTCCGCAAAGCTCTGCGCTACATTGTATATCGTCGGCATGACTAGGCATGCCATGTCCAGCATACAAGGCTATCACATGCAGACCATCAAGTGGTTCAAGAACGCAGAGCAAGACAAGCAACGCGACAGCAAACAAGTTATGGTTTTTTGCATCGGATGTGGTTCTTGGTTCTTGGTCTCTTGGTGCTTAGCGTAGTCGGGCGTGGTGTTCTGGACTGCCTTCGAAGCATCAAATTCGGCAACGTGTCAAGTAGTAATCGGAAGCAGTTCAGCACGTGTGTTAGAGTCGCCGCACCACAGCGTGTATCGGGGGTCGCATCCGAGCAGGCTAGCAGTACTGTCGCGAGTAGGTTCTGGGGGTTTGCAGAGAAGAGTTGCTTCCGGTGTGAATGCCCCCCAGCTCCAGTGCAGGTACTCACCGATTGCCAACATGCCATTGGACACTTTCAAGATTTCGAAAAGCAAGGACGATTTTCCTCTAGAGTCAGTCTCCTAGAACGTAGAAGTGTGCTAGCCTGCGACCAGCGCAGCCTTGAAACGACTTGGCCAAGACGGCGGGGTCCTCGCTTCAAAGCTCTTCATAAAGGGTCTTGTGGCACCTTGCCTGGGTAGAGAGATGTGTGCTCCTCTTCAGCAAAGAGCCTGGAACCGTGCTCGCCATTTGGCTACAGACGAGGAGCCGCAATGATCAGCAAGTTGACAGTTGGTTGACTAGAAGCATCCACGACTTTGTCAACACTGCTCGTCAAGTCGGTATTTTATTGGCGCCGTCCCATGCTCGAAGGCCGAGTGGCCGGCGCACGCTTGCGCAGCCCGCATGGCGTCGCGAAAACCTTCCGGCCGTTGACGCACTTTGGTCTGTGGCTTGATCTGCTGGAACTGGCTCTTATCCCAAGCCATCTGCAACAGGTGGGAAGGTAATGAAGGTACAAAGATGGAAGGCAGTGTGAAAGGACCTTTGTGTTCGTTGCAGGAGTGGCAGCTGCGTGGCGCCAGGCAGTCGTGACCTCAGCGCATCATCACGTCGCCAGCACAGCGATGCCTTGGGATGCCTTCTCTTCGCGATGAGCTCAGGCTTAGCCGATCTTGCTGGGATGGTCTCAGGCTGGGCCACCGGGGCGAACGGGGCTGAGGTTCCGGACCATTGCTCTCATTGATACATTTTCGAGGTCGCTTCGTGGCCATCATTTTCGGAGCCAAGGTAAAAATCTAGGAAAATCTAGCCCCGAGCACCGTTTGCTGGTCGGCTAGAGAAAACTAGAAAAAGCTAGAAAAAACTGGACAAGCGCTGAATTGCTGATATTTCCTGGCCATCAAGACTGTGGTTTCGGGTTCAAGGGGTTGGGGCTCACTACCTTGTCATGGGTTAGGATGTTGCTGCCGAACAGGGTTCAGGGATGTCTGTAATTTGGATAGCTGAAGTTTTAGTTTTCAGGTTCAGGGCTAGTGTACTGTTAGAGTTGTTTAGGGTTTAGTGCGTCAGTTGTTTTCAAGACTTTTCGGGTTCAGGGTTTAGCGTGTTTCGGATTGGACACCCCGACATCGCACTCGGAACGGTTGTTGATCAAGGCTTTTCGGGTTCAGGTCTTATTGTGTTTGGGATTGGACACCCCCCCCCCCCCCGTGTGCAGCTTAAATAGGGTTTATTTGGAAGCTGGCACTCGTGTTCACAAGAGGAAAAAAGGCCCCAAAACGTATACTTATTTACAAGAGCCAACTTCCAAATAGACCCTATTTTAGGTCCTAGGGGGGGTCCCAGGCCTGAATTAAATATGAAGGCCCCGATTTAAATATGAATATTTAATTCGGGAGCTTCATATTTAAATTATTTAATTCGGGCCCGGGAATTAAATAATTTAAATAATTTAAGTAATTTAAATAATTTAAATAATTTAAATCCTGGAGGGGGGGGGGCGGGCCTCCTCCCGCAGGAGGAATTAAATAATTTAAATATGAAGGCCCCGAATTAAATATTAATATTTAATTCGGAGCCTTCATATTTAAATTATTTAATTCTTCCTGCGGGAGGAGGCCCGCCCCCCCCCCTCCAGGACTTAAAATATTTAAATTATTTAAATTATTTAGAATATTTAAATTATTTAAATTATTTAATTCCCGGGCCCGATTTAAATACTTTAAATATGAAGGCCACGATTTAAATATGAATATTTAATTCGGGAGCTTCATATTTAAATTATTTAATTCGGGCCCGGGAATTAAATAATTTAAATAATTTAAATCCTGGAGGGGGGGGGGGGCGGGCCTCCTCCCGCAGGAAGAATTAAATAATTTAAATATGAAGGCCCCGAATTAAATATTAATATTTAATTCGGGGCCTTCATATTTAAATTATTTAATTCCTCCTGCGGGAGGAGGCCCGGCCCCCCCCCCTCCAAGATTTAAAATATTTAAATTATTTAAATTATTTAAATTATTTAAATTATTTAATTCCCGGGCCCGATTTAAATAATTTAAATATGAAGCTCCCGAATTAAATATTCATATTTAAATCGTGGCCTTCATATTTAAATTATTTAATCGGGCCCGGGAATTAAATAATTTAAATAAATTAAATAATTTAAATAATTTAAATAATTTAAATATTTTAAATCCTGGAGGGGGGGGGGGCCGGGCCTCCTCCCGCAGGAGGAATTAAATAATTTAAATATGAAGGCCCCGAATTAATTATTAATATTTAATTCGGGGCCTTCATATTTAAATTATTTAATTCCTCCTGCGGGAGGAGGCCCGGCCCCCCCCCCCTCCAGGATTTAAAATATTTAAATTATTTAAATATTTAATTCCCGGGCCCGATTTAAATAATTTAATATGAAAAGGCACGATTAAATAGAATATTTAAATTCGGGAGCTTCATAGTTTAAATATTTAATTCGGGCCCGGGAAGTTAAATAAATTTAAAATAATGAAATAATTTAAGATAAAATGTAAATATTAAATAATTTAAATAATTAAATAATTTAAATAATTAAATATTTTAAATCATGGAGGGGGGCGGGCGGGCCTCCTCCACAGGAAGAATTAAATAATTTAAATATGAAGGCCCCGAATTAAATATGAATATTTAATTCGGGGCCTTCATATTTAAATTATTTAATTCCTCCTGCGGGAGGAGGCCCGGCCCCCCCCCCTCCAGGATTTAAATTATTTAAATTATTTTAATTATTTAAATTTTTAAATTATTTAATTCCCGGGCCCGATTTAAACAATTTAAATATGAAGCTCCCGAATTAAATATTCATATTTAAATCGTGGCCTTCATATTTAAATTATTTAAATCGGGCCCGGGAATTAAATAATTTAAATAATTTACATAATTTAAATAATTTAAATCCGGGAGGGGGGGGGGCCGGGCCTCCTTTTGCAGGAGGAATTAAATAATTTAAATATGAAGGCCCCGAATTAAATATTCATATTTAAATCGAGGCCTTCATATTTAAATTATTTAATTCCTCCTGGGGGATGAGGCCCGCCCCCCCCCCTACCAGGATTTAAATTATTTTAAATTTATTTAAATATTTAATTCCCG